GTACAGGTAAAATACTGGAGACATACACTTGTCCCCCTGTGGCCAATATTAGGACACTGACTTTTTCAAATATAGGCTGATTTTTTTCTCACTTAGCCACAGTTTCCTAAAAGTTCAGAATGATGGATCCAAACGATTTACCAGGGCCTAGTGGTACTTCTAGAGGAAATACCCCACCTCGGGAGTGCGATTTCGATTGGATCGATAATTTTAATCTTGACTTATTGAGTGATTTTGAAATTCAAGATAATTTTGATGTGGATTTATTCGAGCGTTTTAACCCTGAGTTCTTTGATATTCAATATGGTGGTGGTAAAAATGTGATCAATGATCCTGAGGCGCTCAAAGCCATTGAAGACTTGAATCTAGATTTACTAGATCAACACAATAATGAGTATCACATCTTATGTCAATAATAATAATGAATATTTTTTTCTAAAAAATATTTTTCCATTAAAAAATGAATTCAATTTCAGATGCGCAAATTGACCGCAATGAAGAGGTGGAGGACCCACCGTCAGCACTAAGAACAATAAAAAGGTCACGCCAGAGGCTCCCTCGTTTCAAACTCGACACATAAGTAATGGAGTTTAGAATTAACCCTGTGCCTGAAGATCGCAATCCGACCGAGTGGGTGGAAGAAGCTTTTCGAGATGTCTACAATAATATCATAGAAGCCGGGGGCCGCGGAATGAATCGAATGTGTCCCACATTCAATTTTGCAAATATGCAAAGAGACAACGCATGGATAAGCCCACGGGCGATCAATGGATACGAGTTTCAGGCTGATGCCCCTGCACGTCAAGGAGACTTTCTTGAAAAGGGCATAAAAAGAGGACTGAGCAAAAAATGTGTTATTCAAATTTCCAATGAAGATGGCTTGTGTTTAGCCCGATCACTTGTTGTGGCCAGAGTATACGCCAAGAAATTGATGGCCAGAGTATACGCCAAGAAATTGAAGGCCAGAGCTGACAAGGGCGAAATACACGATATGAGGCTGGCCATTCGACAATCCAAGGGTATAATGCAACGTGCGGAAGCCAAACGCCTAACCCGGGCAGCTAGGGTCGTTGTTCCTGACGAGGGTTGTAGTTTAGAGGAAATTGTCCAATATCAACGATACTTGGCGCAAGAAGGATGTATCATCAAGGTCTATTCTCTGAAAAGAAATGGAAAAGATCATCCTGTACTCTACGACGGCACACCTGAAGTAACCATCAGGAATATACCTGCCCAATATATCCTACCCATTGTGTACTATCCGGAAGAGAAACACAACAAGTCGATTCAAAATTTACCTTCTTTTTTCGGCGCTGCATATCATTGCGAACATTGTAGTAAACCTTACAACGCTCGAGGGCATGTTTGTGATAAAACTTGTGACAGGTGTATGAAAAATCCTCTGTTTGACTCTACAATCGTCGATAAAATAGTGTGTAACGAATGTACCAAGAATTCCACGGTCAATTGTGCTTCGAACAACATAAAAAAGCAGGGTCTTACAGTGGAAACAAGCCAGCCGTATGTGGACACATAAAATTGTGTAAAAAATGCAATGTAAAAATTGATCATCGGGAAATTCAGAAACACGTGTGTGACAAGTATTATTGTACCGTATCCCAAAAGGACGAAGATATTTCTCATCTATGCTACATGCCCACATTGAAAAGTAAAAAATAGTTAACGATGAAACGCGTAGTATTTGTTTTCTAGGACTTGAAGATGAGACAAGATGAGCTGATGCAAGGAACTGATGATGTCAACATACACGTACCAATGCTTTGCGTAGCCCAAACTGTGTGCGACCGCTGTACAGGCATGGACGATGACGATATTGCGAACATTAAGGAAAATCTTCATAGCCCGTGCAGTGTGTGTAAACCTCGAGAAAATATTTTTGATGGCGAGGATCCTGTGCGAGGATTTGTCAATTCCATCACATCGATGGATAAGGCGTATAAAAAAGTAGTTTGTAGTGCTCACAATGCAAAAGGTTATGACTCGCAATTTATTTTGAGAGATGTCATGCGTAGAATCAACCGCGAAATTGAAGCAATTATTAACGGCACAAACATTGTTTTGATGGATTTCGGGGATAATAAATTTATAGATAGTTTAAATTATTACGACATGGCTCTAGCCCGTTTGCCAAAGGCTTTTGGATTGGGGGATATTGCAAAAGGTTATTTGCCACATTTTTTCAATAAAAACGAAAATCAGGACTACGTAGGGCCTATACCCGATGAGAAATATTATGGTGCAAACACGATGAATGTGCAAGATCAAGAAAAATTCTTAGCTTGGTATAATGAACGAATAGCAAACTAAGAGTTCAATTTTCGTGAAGAAATTCTCCATCATCGTAGACTTGACGTTACAATTTGAGACGAGCGTGTGTGGAGTTTCGTAAATTAATTATGAACCCTGGAAATGTTTGTCCTTTTACAGAGTGTGTAACGATTGCTTTGACTTGTATGCGCATTTTTCAAACAAATTTCTTCGAAGAAAAACAGATAGTTATTATTCCTCAGGGAGGAAATCGTTTAGGAAAAACACAGCCAAAAATAGCAATTGAATGGCTCCTATAGCGCGAGCATTGCGAAAATCATCGAATAATACACACCGGGGGTACTCGAGAACACAGGACGGAATCAGGGCATTGGCTAGATGGTTATTGGGAAGATGTTGAAAATAATAAAAAATATGCATATCAGTTTCACCGATGTTATTGACACGATTGTCCGCGGTGTTTCAAGTTTAATCGAGATGAAGAGTTGAGCCACAAGGATACATTAGAGAGTCGATATGAGAGAACAGGAGCAATTACACGGGAATTGCAAAAGTTGGGTTACAAAGTCATTGAAATGTGGGAATGCGATTTTATTCGTCAAAAAAAGACATCTCGAATTGTCAAACTTCGTTGAAAACATCGATCAGCAAATGTTTATTGCCTTAGAACCGTGCGATGCCTTTTTCAGTGGCCGCACGGGAAATACCGTAACACACTATGATGTTAAAGAGAATGAAAATATTCGCTATGTCGACGTTTGTTCCTTATATCCATATGTTTTAAAGACGGGAATTTTCCCCATGGGTCACCCCACTGTGCATTGTCAGATCATATGCCCTAATAACGATATTTCGCGGATAGAGGGACTTGTAAAATGCCGCATTTTACCCCCGCGACGATTATTTCACCCAGTTTTACCTGTCAAAGCACACGGTAAGCTACTGTTCCCTCTCTGTCGGTCATGCTGCGAAGTTCTAGTGCAAGACAATTGTCTTCATGATGACCCCACCTGACAGCGAGTTTTTGGGGACTTGGGTCACCCCAGAGCTTTGTAAAGCAGTAGAGGTGAGATATAAGATTTTAGAAATTAGTGAAATTTGAGAGTATAAAAAAACAACGCGTTATGATCCAGTGACACGAACAGGGGGTTTATTTGCCGAGTATATAAACACTTTCCTAAAAATCAAACAAGAGGCTTCCGATTAGCCAGCATAATGCACAGATGATGAATCCAAGGATAGATAGATAGCTGAATATGAGGCGAGATAGGATATAAAACTGGACAAGGATAAAATTTAAAAGAATGCTGGATTGAGAGCAGCAGCAAAACTTTGTTTAAACTGTCTCTGGGGTAAATTTGGGAAGAGAAAAGATTTAACGAAAAAGGCAATCATTCGAACATATGAGGAGTTTGCCAACATAATGTTCAATCCTGAAATCGAAGTGATAGGGCTTGTCCCTGTCGATAACGAGACTCTCTTCATGTCCTGGAAACATTTAAACGAAGCTGCGGAACTGTCTACTAAGGCCAACGTTGTTATTGCGGCTTATCCAACAGCTCACGCACGTCTCAAGTTATATTCTTATTTAGAAAAACATCAAAAACGCGTTTTGTATTATGATACTGTTGAAAAGTGGCTCCAGCTACTGGTCCTCGTTACCCGTACTACGTTCTACCTCATTACCATTAACCTACATTACCATGTGCCTTGATAAACTATATTACCATATAGGNCTCTTCATGTCCTGGAAACATTTAAACGAAGCTGCGGAACTGTCTACTAAGGCCAACGTTGTTATTGCGGCTTATCCAACAGCTCACGCACGTCTCAAGTTATATTCTTATTTAGAAAAACATCAAAAACGCGTTTTGTATTATGATACTGTTGAAAAGTGGCTCCAGCTACTGGTCCTCGTTACCCGTACTACGTTCTACCTCATTACCATTAACCTACATTACCATGTGCCTTGATAAACTATATTACCATATAGGGATACTGTTAAGATGGAGACGAGACCGTGCGCATGCGCAGCTCTCGTCTCGACACGTTGAGGCGTGGGGTGGCTCTTTCGTGTTCCACAACGACTAGACGCAGGACGAGTCTGACGTGTGCATTAATAAGCCTTCCTTAATCTACAACTATGTTATACTTATTGTGTTCTATCTCCTAACCATCTATCAGGTTATGGGCCCAGGCACGCTTCCACTGTGCAGTGAAACAAAAAAAAAATAAAAAGGAAAAGTGATGTCGGACGTGGAATTAAGTAAGTAAAGAATATCCAATTAAAATTAAGGGATTGCATCATCTCGGTGGGAACAACGGGGAGACCGAGCACAAAAATGGCCGACATCCGTGGAATACTGACGCGTCCGAAATAATTTAATCTAGAAGCTGAAATTGGAGATTATTATTTTAAATAAATAAAAAGGGCAAATGAAGTATCAAAAAAAAAGAAAAAAAACAATAATAATCTAGTTTTTCGTGAATTCGGGATGAGTTGAAGGAATAGCGGAATTCTGAAGAATTAATAAGTTTCTAAGGGAACTAGATGCGAGACGCGTAATAAAGGGGGGTTTGGTTGATGCAGTGAGTGCGTCGCCGACATGGCGCGCGCGCAGTAATATATAAAATAGAAACCACTGGAATGGAGACGCGCATTAACACATAAAAATAATTGTCATGCATGAGTGGATGAGTCCCAACCAAACCCGACGAGGAAAATAAATTAATAACGAGAAATTCTCCACTGGTTGGAAATCGAAATCCAATTAGTAAATAATTAATAATTATCACAGGTGACGACCTGGGGAAGTTGTGGGAAACCCTCACTTCAATATTTGGATTTGATGACTTCCACAGAGGAGAGGACGTAGTCCTGGAAGTGGTGGATGAGTCATTGTTAATGAAAGCAGACAAACTTAAATACAAGCTTGGTGAGTCACAAATGAAAAGGGCTCGGTGAGAGGTCTGGATGAGAAATAAATGAGAAATGCATGCGATTGAGTGCTAGTGAAGATATTGGCTAGCAAATATCAACACATTTAATTTAGCACCAATAATTCAAATAAAATACTAGTTATAAAATAAATATATATATATATATATATTTATGAATATAGATTCTTAATTATATCCGGAATCGGGATGTTCCACCAAGTTGATTGGCGGAGGAAAATTGATCGTTCAATATCAGAAACTAATCGACTTTTTGAGCACAAATTAATCTTTGTCTACAATTGTCATTTGTGTTCAAAGCTCTAATGCCAGTAAATTTGAGTACGATAACTGGCAGCGGAGCAAAGGATATAACATTTATAAAACTTACCAATAAATAATCATAAACTAAAATTTCCCAACAGGTAAAAACATGATGGTAGATGGGCAATGGGAAGCACTGATAAAGTGGTATGAGGACAAGCTCTTAATAAACACACCACCCATCATGCCTAAAGTTTATGAGGAACATCCTATAGCTATTATTGAGGTCAGTAAGGAAAGAGTTGACGAGGAGAGTGAGGACGAGGAAAAGGGTAAGAATGACGAGGTCCAAAGGGATGAAAAGACGAATACAGGTCAGACGGCCGGACGAGTGGATGAGCAAAATGCAATAATAGCTAACACTCTCAAATCAGGTAATTCAAAACCCCAAATTAAAAAAATTGAACATATAGAAACGAAAGTTACGATAAAATCACCTGTAAAAGTTCACTCAAATGATCTGACGAAAACTAAAATTAATGAGAAACAAAATGCATTTCCAGTACAAGACAGACTTGAACAAGTATGTGCAAAACTGGATTCGGTCACCAATGTACTTCTAAAAATAACTAAATTACAAACTAACACGGGTACATTTTTAATGGAAGCGATAAAAGAAGTTAAAAAGGAAGTACAGGTGGGACGGAATGAGAGAGAGGATAGAATTCAGAACATTGAAGAGAATATGGAGAAGTTGTTGACTTGGGCTGACGATCAGGACGAGAAGGTAAGCGAAGAGACTGATCAACCCAAAAAGGGCGATGAGAATGATATGGATAAGGAACTGAATGAAAGAATTCAGGAGTTGTTTAAAAGAAAAGAAATGTACCAAAAAGATGAAAATACCAAAACCAGCAATGCTGAATTGGTTAATGAAGCAATTAAATACAATCTATTAGACAAGGGGCCATCAGTAAAACGTGATTATAAACTTGATAAAAATACTAGGTATGAACATTTTCATGACTACTTTTACTCAGAAGTAAGATCTCATAAACTCTCACACATTATTGACAGTAAAGTTAAATTCAATGGTGATCCGAAGATTCTGGATGAGCATAAATTCAAAGTGAGAGATATTTTGATAAATCACATTGATAAAGAATATCATGTTAAAGTTGTAACAATTCAAGATCCAGTAGCAATTTTAAACAAACTCAAAGAAATTAAGAAATATGAAAATAATATCTCTTCGGCTACTGTAAGACTGGAAATAACAAGTATGAGATACGATAAAAATAAATCAACTGCTGTAAACTTTTGCAATAAATTTGAAGAAGCTATTCGTAATTATGAAAATTCACCTGATGCTACCCCGTTGTCTGAGGAAGAGAAAAGAGACGCGTTCAACAATGCAATTATTAAGTCAGTACCAATGGTACAACTATTACAGTCAACAGCAAAAATTAAAAACGAACCTCCTCTGACGTATGACCAATTAACTACTGTTATGAGACAGGAAGAGGCAATAAGGAAACAGGACGAGCCAAGTAGCACAGAGGTGAGAACAGCAAATCTGGCATCCAAAGATACTAGATGCTACGAGTGTGGCGGATTCGGTCATCTCGGACGAGAATGCCCTGGACGCGGACAAGGGAAATTGTGCTATTTGTGCAAAGAGTTCCGTCATACCAGACGAGAATGTCCGAAATCAGGTGAGATTTTTAAACCAAGAAACTATACTAGAAATATCAGTTCGAGCGGATGAGGTTTTCGTGGATCTGGGAGAACATATAATTCGTTGAAAAGAAAATCAAACGGTCAGATTGAAACTGGGAATTCTAAAAGGGGTAAATTTTACAATCAAACAAGCAGAGGAAATTTCAAGTATACTAAACCCAGAACTACTCCTAAAGTCAGTCAGGAAGAATCAGGGAAATCTTCAACATCTGACAACAAAGAAAAGGGTAAGTCAATAATGAAAAATTCAATAAATGATAAGTCACGCGAGGGTCAGGCAATGTTGGTGGGCGAGAGTGATCAGAGAAGCAAATTTATCACTAAGTTTCTAGCAGACTCCGGTGCCACAGAGCACTTAACAAACTCAAAATTAATATTCAAATCTATTGACGAGCAAACTAAAGGAGTAATTAAATGCGCTAATAAAAATGAAAACGCGGACTTGAAAACGGAGGGAGTCGGTCAGGTGGAAATCCAATTGTTAAATGGCAAGAAATTTGTGATAGATGAGGTTATATTTGCAGATGCTCTTCAAGCCAACTTATTGTCATTAAGACGCTTCGCTGAAATGGGACTTGGGATTTATCTGGATGACAAAAGAATTGACATATTTAATCCAGAGTCGAATGAATTGTTTATCTCTGGAGTATATGAGAAGCCATATTGGATTGTTGATTTAGAAATGAATAACTTTAGTGATGTCAATAAACAATTTCAGACAAATACAATCAGACGAGTTATAGCTAATATGGTGGAAGANTAAACTCGGATTTGGAGCCCTGTTTGTTTACTTGGAGTCATGAGGATGGGTTCTTAATTCTGTTACTGTATGTGGATGATATTATTATGGCTAGTAATGATAAGATCAAGTTGGAAGAGGTTAAAACAGCCTTGAGTTCAACATTTGAAATGACTATCCTGGGTGAGCCAAAAAAATTCTTAAACATCTCGATCAAAAGAGATAGAGAAGACAGGATATTAAAGTTGAGTCAGGAAAAATATGNTAGAAAATGGACAATCCGAAATAGAACAAAAAGAAGTAATTTTCAATAAAAAAAACTCAAAAACAACTACTGATCCAATTCNATGTTAACTACACAGGCATCTAATCAGGAACGTAAACTGAGAGTCTGATCTTGCAGGAGAAGTTTACAGTGTGAAAATGAATTGTCCATACCGAGAAGTAGTAGGTAGCTTGTTATATCTCGCAGGAACAACAAGACCTGACATTTCCTATGCGGTCAATGTATTGAGCAGACACCAGGTGAATCCGACAGATGAAGATTGGAAAATGGTGAAAAGAGTACTACGGTATTTACAAGGTACCACTGCCCTAGGTTTGAGATATGCTGGTGAGACTGACGTCATAGAAGCATATTCGGACGCTAGCTTTGCTGATTGCAAGGAATCATTGACTACATGTGGTTATGTAATTGAACTGTTTGGTGATTCGATCATTTGGAGAACTCACAAACAGTTATATGTAGCTTTATCGACGTGCCAAGCTGAATATGTAGCGATGAGCTAAGCGAGCCAAGAAATGTTGTCCATGTACAACTCTCTAAAATTAATACTAACACCCCAACTGCCTATGACATTATGGTGCGATAATAAGGCAGCGACGTGTAGTACTGAAATCAGTGGGGGAAATAAATTGAGACACATAATAGATGTCAAAGCACACCATATTAAAGAGTGTGTGAAACTCAATTTCATCAAAGTTAACTGGATTAGTTCTAGAGATCAATTGGCTGACGTGTTTACAAAACCTCTGGCGTTTGAGCTACACAAACGACAAGTTGACAAAATATTGAATGTAAATATCTAATCTTATGTTTTATTGTTTGTTTAGGAAAGAAAAATAATTAAAGATCAAAGCACTGTATTAAAGGACTCAGCAGCAGTCGGGAGGGAGTGTTGAAAAGTGGCTCCAGGTACTGGTCCTCGTTACCTGTACTACGTTCTACCTCATTACCATTAACCTACATTACCATGTGCCTTGATAAACTATGTTACCATATAGCGATACTGTTAAGATGGAGACGAGACCGTGCGCATGCGCAGCTCTCGTCTCGACACGTTGAGGCATGGGGTGGCTCTTTCGTGTTCCACAATGACTAGACGCAGGACGAGTCTGACGTATGCATTAATAAACCTTCCTTAATCTACAACTGTATTATACTTATTGTGTTCTATCTCCTAACCATCTATCAGATATAGACTCGGTTATTTACATGAGCGACGGAAGTAACGAGTTACCACTGGAGAATTTTCTAGGGGATTTGACCGATGAAGTAGACGGTTACGGAGAAGAGAGTTTCATTACGTCTTTTGTCTCTGGCGGTCCTAAATTTTATACTCATCGTGTGAAGAAACCGGATGGAACCATCGCAGAATTTAGTAAAATAAAACGGGTTGGGCTTAATTATGAAACGCGTAAACAGATTCATTACGACTAGATTCGTGCCCTCGTTGTCGATAAAGTAGAGCCTTACCAGATCAACTACAAGGGTATACGATGGGCAATGTACCATGACGTCATCACGAAACCCGAGACCAAGATTATCCGTGCGACGTGCCCAAAACGAAGCCTTGATAATGGTGCTACAACCCTCCCCTATGGATATAAGACAAAACGACTCGCGATTGAACCCGACGAAGGAAAACTATTTTTGGTTTTTGAGGTAGCAATTAGGGATTAGATGTAAGACTTTGAGTAATTTTTTTGTAGATGTAAACTAGATGTAAGTTTTTAACACCAGATGTAATTTTTTTTTCGTAGATATAAGTTTTTATAAATTCAAGATTTTTTTTAGATATAAGGTTTTATAAATTCAAGAATTTTTTTTAAATGTAGGTTTTTCTTTAAATATTGGGTGTGTGAATATGATTCCGTCCTTTTTTGTTCAAATATAAAACACATTTGCTTGTTTCGAAAATTGAAGAAAAGTTCATTGAAAGTATGCTCCATCTGCAGCTACAACCTTCGCCCATCTTTCACGTAATTTACGTATTCCTTGCCTGAAGAAATCCTGGTCTTTTGAGCTGATCCAATTATCAAGCCAAATTTTGATACTGTCGTATGAAGTGACCCGTTTTCCCGTAAGATCTGACTGCAGTGTTCGGAATAAGTGGTAATCCGAAGGAGCTAGTCTGGCGAATATGGCGGGTGGAGTAGCACTTCCCAGTCCTGTCCATCTAAATATCTTTTCACAATTTGGGCGGTATGCGGTTTGGCATTGTCATGTTGAAGAATTAATTTACTGTACCTATTCACTAATTCTGGTCGTTTTTCTTCTATGGCTCGCTTCAAACGCATTAGTTGTCGTCGGTAAACTTCTCCATTAATAGTTTGAGAGGGTTCGAGCAACTCATAATATACAACACCTCTCTGATCCCACGAAATGCAGAGCATAACCTTGGTACTGTGAATATTTCTTTTTGGCTGGGATGGACCGGGTTCACCTGACTTCACATAAGTTTTTTGGCGTTTAGGATTCTCATAATATATCCATTTTTCATCTCCTGTGACTATTCGATGCAAAAATCCTTTTCTTTGCTGTCTTTTAAGTAGCATTTCACAAATTGTTTTTCGACGTTCCATGTCTCTTTCTTTCAATTCATATGGAACCCAGTTGCCAACTTTTCGAACCATTCCCATTGCTTTTAAACGCTTTGCAACAGTTGATCGTTCAACATTTAATACTGCAGCCAATCCTGCTTGAGTTTGGCAAGAATCCTCTGCCAATAATGCCTCCAATTCAGCATCTTCAAATTTTTTTGGTGGTTTTCCATGTTCTGTGTCCTCAGTGCCAAAATCATTATTTTGAAATCGTCGAAACCATTCCTTGCAAGTTGTATTAGATGGATCATGCTCACCGTAAATCTACACAAGCGAACGATGAGTTTCCGCTACACTTTTCTTTGCAACATAATAGTGTAATAACACTTCCCGCAAATGATGTTTACTTGGAACGAAAACCGACATTGTCATGGAGGTAAAAACACTTGTTGCTTACATTTCAACCAAATGTTACGTAGGGCGTTTGACAGCTGACAAAGTACTATCGAATACAAGTGTTGCTATTTATTAGTGCACGTAAGCAGTACTAAAAACGACATCTGTTGGGAAAGGGCGGAGTCATATTCACACACCTAATAAATTTTTTTCAAAATAAAACAAAAAACGTGAACTTTTTCTTGTTTTTTTCTAAATACCCATTTTAGAGGGAAACAAATTTGTTGAGGTTTTTTTTTTAATAAAAAAGGAGAGAAGTAGATAACATTCTTTCATTCAAGAAAACTGAATCTAAAAGAAATACTTTTTTTTTTAATTCAAAACTTAATTAGAATGAATTACAATTGTTTTTCAAAAAAAAATTTGTTTTTTTCGCTGCGCCGGGGGGGGGGGAGCACCTCACCCCCACTCCTCGAGATCCCAGTTGTCCGCACTGTGGTTGAGATGATGGGAGCCCACCGAAGAGGTTGTCGAGGTCTTATAAATCCTCGATGGGAGATCCTTCAGAGCCGGTCGCATGCATCTGAAAATTTTAAAAATGATTGAAATTTGATTGAAAAAAAATCTGCAGGAAAGGCGACAAATAAGTTTTTCATGAAAACAATCCAGCACGCAAAATTTCTACGGGAGAGAAGGCGAGCAAAAATTTCAGTCATAAAAAATTTTGACACTGAAAAATTAGAAGAAAACTAGAATAGAAACATTCAAAATCGGAAAAAAAACGTGACGAAAACCGAATGGAAAATACATGTAATCTCCATAAAAGACGTTTAAAAACCGAAAAAAATGCACGCATTTCGGAAAAAATTCAACTCAAAATTTGACGCTGAAAAATTGGACGACACTGGAACAGAAAAATTCGAAAACTAAAAAATTTCACATGGAAAATTTCAAGGAGAGAAACCGCGAGCAAAAATTTCTTTCACAAAAAAATTCTTTCAAAAACAATTTGGACACTAAAAAATTGGACGAAAACCGGAATAGAGAGATTTAAAAAGAAAAAAATGAGACGAAAACACAATGGAAAATACATGTAAACTGCATAAGAGACATTTACAAAACAGAAAAAAATGCACACATTTAAAAAAAATTGAACTAAAAACTTGACGCTGAAAATTTTTAAACAAAAAAAAAATTTCTTTCTCAGAAAAATGCACGACAATCGGACTCTAGAAAATTACCCAGAAAATTATGAACAAGAAAACTATGTGAACATTTTTTTTTTATACGAAAAGCCCTAACAAGTATTTTCACAAAAAATATCACTCAAAATAGAAATAAAAACCTACCATCCGGTAGGTTCTTTCCACTTCAGTGATGACTGATCCGACCATTTCCAAACTTTTGTTCTTTTTGTCCAAATGAAAAATCACACGGAGCACTGTACGAAAAACGGTGGAGACTTGTCACTGAAGACTATCCTGAAGAATATGAAGTTGTGATTAACTGTTTCAAAGATCTCGCAGTTTACATATCTCGAATTGTTTATTCTATTCCTCTTTATTTTTCTTTTTTCGCCACGGTCTTTCTTGTTTTCCGGGGGTATGTACTTTTCATCGTCCGTATATTTTTCATGATATACACGTATCACATCATACATCATATGAAATCCACGGTAGTGGGGGGAACGTGTGTGTATGCGCCTCTGACGGAATTTAGGCTTCCACTTTTCCCCGTAATTCTCACTTGGTAACCGATCTGCGAGATATTTATCGAACAGTTCGAGATCTTGATCTCTCCAAATTTTATCCATTTTTACAGTCAAAAATATTTTTCACGAATGATCCAGAAAAAAATCAACGTTACGCGTATTAGAAAAATATTCACAGTAGTGAGGATAACATGATAGAGGTGGGGGTAATATACATCATATGAAATCCACGGTAGTGGGGGGAACATGTGTGACGCCGACGCCGCAGCACTCCCTACGGTGGGGGTAATGTGTGGTTAGCATATTACGGTTATGTGAATGGTGGGGGTCTGTGCGTGCCCCACTGTCATGCCTGGCGCTATAAAACGCGGCTGCTCGCAATGTATTTCATTCAGTCGATTTGATGTCGTTTATCTATTTGTTTACCATGGAAAATATCAACGAAAAAGAGTGCAGTGGTGTTGAACAGCAGGTGGTGCTGTCGCAAGTTATATTTCTCAATAAGTCAGAGACGAAGCAAATTCGTGTTGGTTTACAAGTTACCTGTCTCGTTTAAGTTGTTCCTGTAGTGGAGTTTATGGTCCTGCGCCCCAACCGTGTCGTGCTGTCAATGTCACGGGAGGAATGGGGCCTTCTGTACAAAGATCTGGATGCCATTACGGACTACTTTGACCGTGAGAAGTTTCACCCAAAAATCATCCACAATGTACCTGCTAAGCAATTTGGGGATGTCAGAGTGAGATTCCATCGCAGCTACGATAACCCCTGCGTTGCTGTTGTACGTGCTGATGTAAGGCAACTCCTCATTATGATGAGCCCAAGCATTATAACATTAAAAAACAAAGCGGCATGGATCGATCAGTGGCTAACTTTTTGGACCCATTGCCTCTCAAACAATACAGGGAGTCTCTGGTCCGGGCGATTACAAGTTTTACCATGCATTATATGGAATACAACAGGATGCCAGCCACTGAAGAACTTCACTATCGCATACGCAACAATTTCGAGGAGATTTACCTTCTGGCCAAGGACGACCTCCGCCGTACAATACCTCAGGAGGATCCGCGATATTTGTATCAATTATTTGGTGAAATGTTCCATTTCTGCTACGACGAGTTGGATGGTTTTACAGGAGGGGCTTACCGAATGCCTTCATACTAAAGACTATATGATAATAATAATCTCTTGTTATTGTAAATAATTTTAAATTGGAACGAAAAAAAAAATTATTTGTAAGCCTAAAAATGTATTCCATCATTTTACATGAATTAAAGAAAAAGTCATTTGTAAACCTTGTGTTATTCATTTACGAAAAACCTTGACATTTTTTCAGCTACGTAGAAGTTTCCCGAAAAATATAGTCGGCTCCATGTCAGCTTGAAAAATTCACCGTCCTCAAAATAAAAGAGAGAGAGAGAGAGAGAGAGAACGTATTGTTCGCGCTTTGCGTCATTCATGGTTGCAATCCTTTGTTATCCC